GAAGCAGGGACTAAACATTGTCCAGCGAAATTCCCCCATAGGAATCACTGTTTTGCGAATTGCTATAGGTATCGCAAAAAGTCAATGTCTAGCGAAAAAAAATATCATGCAGGGTAACTGTCTAGCGAGGCACCACTGTATTGCCTTGAATGCAAATTTTCCAAGCTCTGATGGGCTTCGGCAGATGCCACAGTAACTGATAGATCTAGCTAGCAAATGTGGCTGCATCTCAGATTTGGGTTTCCATTTTGGATTCAGTCACCATGGTGTAGGTCAAGGCCCAGGTTGATGTTTCGCAATTAAAGTTGTTGTTTGGGCAAACGGGTTACTGAATGAATGAAATCAGAAAGCTCATGTGAGCTGCTGTTCCTGACAAGCGGTGCTCTGTCATAATATTTTTTAATACTGTGAGAATTCGAACCGGTGCCAGCAGGGTTTGTTGGCTGCTCCCCAGGGTCCACTGAGATAGGTCTCCTCATACACCCAGAACTCACGGATGTATTGCTAGAGTTCCTGTATTGCAGGAAAACAGTCATGCAGAGCAGTCCTAACTGAGCTGCCAGCACATCTGACTTAGGTATCTCAAGCAAGTGAGCCCAACCGCATCCAGGAGAGGAAGCTTATGAGTAGTTTGGGAGATCATTAACATTTGGATTAATTCATATTTGGGGTATCCTGTAATGGGGAACCAGGAAATCCAGGTGGCTGGAGGAATAATTGGCTGGATTCTGGATCAATGGTAAAGCCATTAATGCGATGCATATGTCCAAGTATTAAATTCAAGAAACAAAATTAAAAATTGAAAAGCATTTCTTGAAGTCTACTTGGAGGCATAAAATAGAATTAAAAATCAGAGAAGCCCTGCTACATCCACATATATAATGTGTGCATGGCACCATTTGAAATTTGGGTGAACATCAGCATGCTGGATAGCTCAGTGTCTGGTTGTAGAGCCGAAGTTTGGGAGTTCGATTCCTCCATGGTGCCTCCTTGACTTTGCTTTATCTTCCAGCTTCTTCATCCGCGGAGGTATTTCTGGAGCAGTTGGAGAATGCTATAGAACCTCTGCAAGATTATGGAATCTCTGTCCTAAAGGTAAAGGTTATTTTCTGATTTTGAACCACTGATGTGCCATCAGTTATCTTCTTGATTAGGAGCCTCGTGGTGCAGCGGTTAAACTGCAGTCCTGCGGTCAGGCCTCTGCTCACAACCTGAGTTCGATCCCAGCGGGTTCAGGTTGATGGCTCAAGGTTTACTCAGCCTTCCATCCTTCCAAGGTTGGTCAATGGAGTGTTCTGCTTGCTGGACGGGGTGGGGTGGGGCAATATGTAGCCTGTGCAAGACTACAGTATGTTGTAAACTGGCCAGAGAGCACTTTAAGCCCTATGGGGTGGTATATAAACAGCATGCTTTGCTTTATGGCAAATATGGCCAAGTGCTCTGTAGCCCAAAGTGGTGCCGACTTTCTGTCTGTGCAGTGTAAAGCTTCACCAAAGTACAAAATGAGCACTAAGGAGGCTGCTCCAGGACTGTGGAACTCCCTCCCACTGGAGGTCAAGCTGGCCCCATTTTTACTGTCCTTCTGCAAGCAGACAAAGACCTTTCTCTTCAGGCAGGCTTTCCTTGAAATGACTGCTCGATCAAAGAGCTTTTTTAAAAAAAGGATTATTTTATTCTGTGTCTAACCCGTGTTTTTAATCTTCCTCTTATTATGAGTGTTAACATGATAACGTGTTTAATGCTTTTAAAATAATGTACTAATTTATTATTTGAATTTTAACTTCATTCTTTCTAATACTGTAAGCCGCCTTGGATCCTTTCGGGAAAAGGCGGCAGATGGATGGATGGATGGATGGATGGATGGATGGATGGATGGGTGCAATTGCATATATACCACTAGGCCCTATATATTGTTGAACTGGGGTGGGAATTGAGGGGTGCTTCAGATGCACAACTCAGTGTCTTCTAAGTGTGTTGGATTACAGTTTCCATCATCCCAAGTTGTACAAGGCAGATAGGACTCGTAGTCTGCTGCGTCTGGAAGGGCCAGGTTGAGGAGGGTTGAATGATGGTGTTCCATAAATTGTTGTGCGTTGCTGGTAAAATAATCCCGAAGTTTGCAACCCTGATACTGGAAGATCAAAGTGGCAAAGCCTCACCATGAGAGAGGTCCAACTTCCTTAGGTGTAGTAGAATGGACTAGGTGGTCTTGGCCAGAGGATGATCTCTGTGACACTTCCTTAGGTGTAGTAGAATGGACTAGGATGGTGGTCTTGGCCAGAGGATGATCTCCCTGATGCCTATCAATTCCACTTTTCTCCTCCACAGGTGAATTGCCACAAAGGTGGGAAAATGCCAGGTTACTGCATAGAGGAGAGTTCTGTTGGGAAAGCATACCTGTTCAGGTAAATGGTTCATCGGGTTGCAGCTGAATCAGTGAAATAACCCTGAATCTGCTGAGAGGGAAGGGATTTTGAGATGTAAATTGTCCAAAGGTTAACAGAGCAAGTGCAGGAGAACAAAGCGTTTTTTTGTGGTCCAGTCCTCTGTGAAATGGGACGAACCCTTTCATCCATTCTTTGTGCTGGAAGTTCATCGCAACCTCCCAGTGCTTTGTTCTGTATGCGTCTCGAAGGCCACTTCGTCTCCCACGGCCCGACAAGCCCTCTGCAACCAAAAGAGACATTAGAAGAGTCTTTCTTCAATTGGTTCACCCCAAAAGCCTCTGGCAGCAGCCTTGTGGTGCAGTAGTTAAACTGCAGTACTGCAGCCAAAACTCTGCTCATGACCCAGGGTTCAATCCCAGGTAGCCGGCTTGGGGTGCACTCAGCCTTCCGTCCTTCAAACCCGAGTTCAATCCCAATGGGCTCAAGGTAGCTGGCTTAAGGTTCACTCAGCCTTCCATCCTTCCAATGTCAGTCAATTGATGACCCAGCTTGACAGGAGGGGGCGGTGGTGTGTAGTTTGCAAATTGCATTTGCTTTGGTGGGGTTACTGCCTGTTGAGCAGGCTTCCCTTGCAGAAGATCCTAAGATCAGGTCAGACTTTTCATGCTTTAGACTCCCTAGCAGCAGCTCTCCGGAATTGCTACCTAGTTCTCTCCTACCTGGAGATGCTGTCAGGGGTCGAAGACCCCTCTGCCTTTGCAAGCCAAGCAAGGGCTCTGCCACAAATTGGTGGTTCTAGAAATTCATGTTTTGGGTCCATGTCCCTTCCAAAAAATCATGTTCTGTCCATGTCTCGGATTATCGGATTAGTTTTGTTTTTGCTATTTTTTTAAAATAGCAAAAACAAAACTAAAGAATACTTCCTTTGCCAGTTAAGATCATTTTTTAAAAAAATGCCATCATATGCCTGCCAGATCCCTCTGAAAAAAAGTCTGGAAATGTTTCGAAAAGAAATGAGATCTTACTAATGACATGTCATTTGTCGTCGTTCGTTTGTTTAGTCGTGTCCAACTCTTTGTGACCCCATGGACCAGAGCACACCAGGCCCTCCTATCTTCCACTGCCTCCCGGAGTTGGGTCAAATTCATTCTGGTAGCTTCGATGACATTGTCCAACCATCTCATCCTCTGTCGTCCCCTTCTCCTCTTGCCTTCACACTTTTCTAACATCAAGGTCTTTTCCAAGGAGTCTTCTCTTCTCATGAGATGGCCAAAGTACTGGAGCCTCAGCTTCAGGATCTGTCCTTCCAGTGAGCACTCAGGGTTGATTTCCTTTAGAATTGATAGGTTTGTTCTCCTTGCAGTCCAGGGGATTCTCAAGAGCCTCGTCCAGCACCACAATTCAAAAGCATCAATTCTTCGGTGGTCAGCTTTCTTTGTGGTCCAGCTCTCACTTCCATACATCGCTACAGGAAAAACCATAGCTTTGACTATGCGGACTTTTGTTGGCAAGGTGATGTCTCTGCTTTTTAGGATGCTGTCAAGGTTTGTCATCACTTTCCTCCCAAGAAGCAAGCATGTTTTAATTTTGTGGCTGCTGTCTCCATCTGCAGTGATCATGGAGCCCAGGAAGATAAAATTTGACACTGCCTCCATATCTTCCCCTTCTATTTCCCAGGAGGTGATGGGACCAGTGGCCATGATCTTAGTTTTTTTGATGTTGAGTTTCAGACCGTTTTTTGCACTCTCCTCTTTCACTCTCATTACAAGGTTCTTTAATTCCTCCTCACTTTCTGCCATCAGAGTGGTATCATCTGCATATCGGAGGTTGTCGATATTTCTTCCGGCAATCTTAATTCCAGCTTGGGTTTCTTCCAGTCCAGCCTTCCGCATGATGCATTCTGCATATAAGTTAAATAAGCTGGGGGACAATATACAGCCTTGCCGTACTCCTTTCCCAATTTTGAACCACTCAGTTGTTCCATGACCAGTTCTAACTGTTGCTTCCTGTCCCACATATAGGTTTCTCAGGAGACAGATAAAGTGGTCAGGCACTCCCATTTCTTTAAGAACTTGCCATAGTCTGCTGTGGTCCACACAGTCAAAGGCTTTCGCATAGTCAATGAAGCAGAAGTAGATATTTTTCTGGAACTCTCTGGCTTTCTCCATAATCCAGCGCAAGTTAGCAATTTGGTCTCGAGTTCCTCTGCCTCTTCGGAATCCAGCTTGTACTTCTGGGAGTTCTCGGTCCACATACTGCTGAAGCCTACCTTGCAGGATTTTGAGCATAACCTTGCTAGCGTGCGAAATGAGTGCAATTGTACGGTAGTTGGAGCATTCTTTGGCACTGCCTTTCTTTGGGATTGGGATGTAGACTGATCTTTTCCAATCCTCTGGCCACTGTTGAGTTTTCCAAACTTGCTGGCATATTGAATGTAGCACCTTAACAGCATCATCTTTCAAGATTTTAAATAGTTCAACTGGAATGCCATCACCTCCACTGGCCTTGTTGTTAGCCAGGCTTTCTAAGGCCCACTTGACTTCACTCTCCAGGATGTCTGGCTCAAGGTCAGCAACTACATTGTCTGCATTGTCCGGGATATCCAAATCTTTCCGATATAATTCCTCTGTGTATTCTTGCCACCTCGTCTTGACGTCTTCTGCTTCTGTTAGGTCCCTCCCATTTTTGTCTTTTATCATGTTCATCTTTGCGCAAAATGTTCCTCTAATATGTCCAATTTTCCTGAACAGATCTCTGGTCTTTCCTTTTCTGTTATCTTCCTCTATTTCTTTGCATTGTTCATTTAAGAAGGCCCTCTTGTCTCTCCTTGCTATTCTTTGGAAGTCTGAATTCAAGTTTCTGTAACTTTCCCTATCTCCCTTGCATTTTGCTTCCCTTCTCCTCTCTGCTATTTCTAAGGCCTCGTTGGACAGCCACTTTACTTTCTTGCATTTCCTTTTCTTTGGGATGGTTTTCGTTGCTGCCTCCTGGACAATGTTACGAGCCTCTATCCAAAGTTCTTCAGGCACTCTGTCCACCAAATCTAGTTCCTTAAATCTGTTCTTTACTTCCACTGTGTATTCATAAGGGATTTGGTTTAGATTATACCTGAGTGGCCCAGTGGTTTTTCCTAATCTCTTCAGTCTAAGCTTGAATTTTGCTATGAGAAGCTGATGATCAGAACCGCAGTCAGCTCCAGGTCTTGTTTTTGCTGACTGTATAGAGCTTCTCCATCTTTGGCTGCAGAGAATATAATCAATCTGATTTCGATATTGCCCATCTGGTGATTTCCATGTATAGAGTCGCCTCTTGTGTTGTTGGAAAAGAGTGTTTGTGATGACCAGCTTATTCTCTTGACAAAACTCTATTAGCCTTTGTCCTGCTTCGTTCTGAACTCCAAGGCCAAACTTCCCTGTTGTTCCTTTTATCTCTTGGCTCCCTACTTTAGCATTCCAGTCCCCTAGAATGAGAAGAACATCTTTCTTTGGTGTCAGTTCTAGAAGGTGTTGTAAATCTTCATAGAATTGTTCAATTTCAGTCTCCTCAGCAATGCTGGTTGGTGCATAAACTTGGATTATTGTGATGTTGAAAGGTCTGCCTTGGATTCGTATTGACATCATTCTATCATTTTTGAGATTGTATCCCATTACAGCTCTTCCCACTCTTTTGTTGACTATGAGGGCTACTCCATTCCTTCTACGGGATTCTTGCCCACAATAGTAGATATGATAATCATCTGAGCTGAATTCGCCCATTCCTGTCCATTTTAGTTCACTGATGCCCAGGATGTCAAAGTTTATTCTTGCCATCTCCTGTTTGACCACCTCCAGCTTCCCAACGTTCATAGATCTTACATTCCAGGTTCCTATGCAGTATTCTTCTTTGCAGCATTGGATTTTCCTTTCACTTCCAGGCACGTCCACAGCTGAGCGTCCTTTCGGCTTTGGCCCAACCACTTCATTAGCTCTGGAGCTACTTGTACTTGTCCTCCACTCTTCCTCAGTAGCATGTTGGACGCCTTCCGACCTGAGGGGCCCATCTTCCAGCGTCATATCTTTTAGCCTTTTGTTTCTGATCATGGGGCGTTCTTGGCAAAGATACTGGAGTGGCTTGCCATTTCCTACTCCAGGTGGATTGCGTTTAGTCGGAACTCTCCACTATGTCCTGTCCATCTTGGGTTGGATGCCTTCCGACCTGAGGGGCTCATCTTCCAGCGTCATATCTTTTAGCATTTTGTTTCTGATCATGGGGTTTTCTTGGCAAAGATACTGGAGTGGCTTGCCCGTTCCTGCTCCAGGTGGATTGCGTTTAGTCGGAACTCTCCACTATGTCCTGTCCGTTTTGGGTGTCCCTGCACGGCATAGCCCATAGCTCCTCTGAGTTACTCAAGCACCTTTGCCACAACAAGACAGCAATCCATGAAGGGGAATGACATGTCATTACAATGACTTAATTACATTTGGATGTGACTCATTGCACCTGAAAACCTTTTACTCAGGAGTTACAGTGTGAACTACAGTAGGACCTCTGTCTCCGTTGGGATCAGTTCCAAGCACCCTCATGGATGCTGAAAAACTTGGATTATTTTATTGTGAACACAACATTCCCTGTAATTTTTGGTCGTGCTGCAAGGGGGCCTTGCCCGATGTGCACACATGGGGGCCGGGGGTTCATCCAAAACCCAGAAGTTAAATGGACATCAACACTCATTGCCACTGCGTGGCGCCAGTGGAACTCTGTGCCCATGTGTGCACCTAAGAGGGAATGTGGAATCAGCGCTATACATAACATGGTCTCTAGCTCCCTCTAGTGACTGATTCTAGTAATCTTTAAAATTATATATTTCTTGTACAGTGGTGCCTCGCTTAACGACGATAATCCGTTCCAGGAAAATCGCTGTTAAGCGAAAGCATCGTAAAGCGAAATTAAAAACCGCATTGAAAGGCATTGAAACCCATTCAGTGCGTTCCAATGGGGTAAAAACTCACCATCCAGTGAAGATCCTCCATACAGCGGCCATTTTCACTGCCTGTATAGCGAGGAATCCTTTCCTAAGCACAGCGGGGAGCCATGTTAAGCACCTGGTGGCCATTTTGAAAACCCGACGATCAGCTGTTTTTGATCGTCGTAAAGCAAAAATCGGTTCCCGAAGAAGGGAACCAATCATCGCTAAGAAAATTCCCCCATTTAGACCATCGTTTTGCGATCCAATTGCGATCGCAAAAAGTTCGTCATAAACCGGATTCATTGTAATGTGGGGCAATCATTATGTAAGGCACCACTGTACTGTATTTTTCTTTTAATATTTTCAGACCGTGGATAAGTGAATCAGTGGCTACTGATCCTGTGGATATGAAGGTCCTACTGTACTCAAAAAATAACTAGTTAGAGGCTATGGCCTGACCAGTATAATCTAAGGCAGTGGTTCCTCGCCTTGGGTAACCCAGTTGCAATTCTCAGAAACCCCGGCTAACACAGCTGGTGGCGAAGGCTTCTGGGAATTGCGGTCCAAGAACATCTGGATTATCTAAGGTGGGGAACCACTGATTTAAGGCATGAGTGGGCAAAGCCCTCCCCCCCAGCAGGTGGGGAACCACTGATTTAAGGCATGAGCGGGCAAAGGGCAGCCCTTCCCCCCAGCTCCTTGAACCCCTGGAGCCCTGAAATAAAAAAAGGTAGGTCTTTCAGATGCCAAATTGTGTCCCAAAACCCTCTGGAGAGCATGATTTCCCATTTAACTGCACTTTTGCAGTTAAAAGTCCATTTTTAGACACTGAAAGTGAGCAGCAAGAAAGAAACAAAGAAAGAAAGAAAGAAAGAAAGAAAGAAAGAAAGAAAGAAAGAAAGAAAGAAAGAAAGAAAGAAAGAAAGAAAGAAAGAAAGGGTCTTTCAGGGTCCAAAACCATCTGAGAAAGGGGTATACAGGAACTTTTTCTTGAAGCCTAGTTTTCCCCCCCGCTTTTCCCAGGGGCCGCATCCTACTTCGTGAGCTCCCGACGGATGCCTTGTTCAGCGTGGACGCCATCGTGGCCAACGTCCTCTTGTAAGTCTCTCTGCTGGCTTGTGCCTTTCCTTTTCGCCCGATCCCTGTTTTAACCCTCTGTGCACAGATGTTGCATTTCAAGTCCTCTGGGATCGGGGAAGCTTGTGAAGAAGAAGCAGCCAGTCCAGAAGAGGGAGGGGTGACCCCAAAATAGGCAGAATGAAGAGTGTCTAGCCGGCGGAGAATCTTCGTTTTGCCTTGGATATTCTGATAGGGCAGTAAGGGACAAAATGCAGTCCCCAGGGGTCTTATTTTCAGCCTCTAAGACCACCCGAGAGATTCCTTCAACACAAAAGGAATCACCATTTAAAAAAGTAACATTTCCTTTCCTGGGGACCTCTAAAGGCTGCCGTATTTTCCGCCCAGGGCCTGGAGGTCCCTCCCTCTTGTGACCATCCAGGCCAGCGGGCAGGCCCATCCAGATTGGTTTCCTCATCCCTTGCATGTTTTCTAAACGGCGATTTCCAGAATAATCTGGGAGAAACCGTCTCTGGTTGCCAAGTTCACAGCGATCACAGACCCACCTCTCTGACCAGTGTTTCATTTTCCTATAGCTGCCGTTTGGATTTGTTTCATGGCTGGTTTGCCCCCCCCCAACTCTTCCTTCTTCCAGAAAGAGGTCCCCCCTGAACCCCAGGACATATGTTGGGTTGCGTTTCCGTTCCGTTCTATTTAGAGCAGACCCGTTAACCGTCGAAGATGACCGTGCAAGTTAGCCGTGAGAAATTTCATTCCATTGATTTTTTAATGAGTTTACTCTAAGTACGACTGCATCTGGTTCCCTGGATTCTGTACTGGGCATCTCCTGTCCCTCCTCTTTTGGCAGCCACAGGAGATAATGATGGGGTTGGGAGGGAGACCATCATAGGCAGGGATAAAAAAACCTGATTCTTTGCTCTTTGGTGCAATTTTTGTACCAAACATTTACATTGGACCCTCGACTTACAGACGGCTCGACTTACAGACTTTTTGAGTTACAGACTTCTCTGGCTGCAAAATTTAGGTTTGACTTGCAGCCGGAGAATCGACCTACAGACCAGAAAAACCCCCAATACTTGCAGCCGGAGGCCGGTTATGGGATTAATCGGTTTTCAATGCATTGAAGGTCAATGGAGACTCGACCTACAGACTTTTCGACCTGCAGCCACCGTTCCAATACGGATTAATTCTTTAAGTAGAGGGTCCACTTAACCGTCCCACCAACTGCATATCGTCCCCTGTTCTTTTCCTTTGGGAAAACACTCATGATTCTTCTGGTGTCTGGAAGACGAACCCGTTTTCTTTGGTGTAAGCTTTGGCACACTGTAGCCCACGTGTGTAAATGCCAGGGGACGACTGTCTGCATGCGTTTATGCTGAATCTAGCAATGGCAGTTTTCAAGGTGCCAGAAATCTGTTTGGTGTTTTTGCTACCGGAGAGGACCTGGCTGTTTGCTTGGAAGTAATTGTCGTTTGAAGGGTAAACAGTGACCGAAGAGGACTGGGGATTTTGGGTGGAAAGTCTTTGGAGGAGAATGTCCGAACAATAACCATAGTACAGTAACCTACACATTTATTTAAAAGAGGAAAAATGGAAAAATGTCACGCCCAACATGTTCCTCTCCAGATGTGTTGACGCACAACACCTGAAAGGCCCTCAGGCAGCACATGTTTGCGGTACGGCTTGACGGAACGAGACACTAAATTAGTAAGGCAGGAGCGGGAAGTCTTTGGCCTTGTAGAAGTTTTGGTCCGTAGCGGCTATCCGTCTCACCTCCAACCCTGACAAAGGATAATGAGCATTGCAGTCCAAACCATCCGGAGGGCCGACGTTCCTTTGCTCTTGCAGGTGATAAACACCTTTGACCTTTGGTCAAAATGATAGACTCATGAACTCCAGTTGGAGCAGGAGTAGGTCAAAGAATGAAGGCAACTGATAAATCCACCCTTGGACCAGCCGAGGACCAAAGAGAAGGACCTGGCTCTCTCTTGACCTGCTGACCAGCCTGGTCACTCCGGTATGCCAGTGGCAAATTCATTTCCTGAGCAAGAATCTTTCAGGGGCTGGAACCCACACACATAAGAAGGAGCAGATTAGTGGAGAACAGAACGTCCACCATTTTAGGGGAGGGAAATATATAGGGCAAAGGGGCTCCCCAAAGTGCTCAGTGAGGATTGTATATTTTGGCTACAAAATGTTGACTGTCCCTTGATGGATAGGGACAGGGGAAAACAGTGGTGGGGACCCAGGAAAGGGGTGGTGCCCCAGAGGAGGGCTTCTCGGGCTGCTGGGCCCCTTGAAACATGGATCCTCCATCTTGCAGGGTTGGGTTGTGGGTCCCATGTGTGAGATTCTGCAGCATCCGGGCTTTTAATAAGCTCCAGCTGGTCTTTTTTTGCAGTCCTTTCCTCGAGCGCCTCTTCCATAGAGGCCCACCAGCCCAACCTCTGCCTGACACCTCCAGGAGTCCGTGGTTCGAGACCCACTGTTGGTTTGAGACGCGCAACTGATTCCAGAGACCGACTCCCACTTCGGAGCCTCTTAATGCCAAAAGTGTGACAGTGTTGCAGAGACAATGTTGTGGAAGAGCGTGGAGGGAGAGGCCAGCGCTTAATGTTAAGAGGCCGAAAATTCCTGCCTTTGGTTCACGCCCACCCCCATCTTTTCTCCCCAGTGCCCTCCTCTTCAATGAAGTGAAGTATGTGATGACGCTGGTGGACCTCCAAAATCTAGAAGACTCCCTGAAGGGTCAAAGAGATCTGGTTTTTGCCTACGTCCAAGCAGTTGGTACCGCAGGTAGGTACACGGAGCTTCTTAACTGGGCAGCCAGGGGGTCACTTGGTCTTGCCTGCATTTTTTAAAAGCACAGGCGTAGAATTAAAACCATTGAAAACCATAACAAGAGGAAAAGAACTTCGACCTGAAGAGCAATAAACAAAAGTGTTGTGTCTCAAGCATATATTTACGTTTATTCCCTGCTTGATATGCACTTTGGATTGTCTCATCATTATAGGGCTTCAAGCTATAAAACGGATGTGGTTTGCCATTGACTTGTTCTGCACAGTACTAACAAGTATTAGCTTGAGCGGTGCTGCCATTCTCTGTGGAAATTCCTCCACTCGTTGTATCTTTTCACCACAGGTGCTGCCCACTAAGCTGTCCTTCATCCCATCCTCCTCCTTGTAACTATCAGTCCTCAGATGAGGACTGATAATTCCTGAAGAGGGTGATGGTCACTAATTTGTAGAGTTGATGTAAATCAGAAGCGACTTGATCACATGCAAGAAGAAAAACTGCACAGAGGATTAGGGGTGTGCTGTTTTTTAATTTTTGGGCTCCAACTCCCAGAATCATCAAGAATTTCCCAGGTGGAAATTTGGGGCTTTCAGCCCACAAACCCACCCCTACATTTCACTCACTTTGACTGAGGCCTATCCCTGAAGCTACACAGCGCACATGGGCCTTGTTTCCTGTTTTTAATATACAAAAAAGAGAGAAGTTGTTGTGGTTCTTCCTGGCAGTCATCATCTGGATGCCCATTAGGCCCTATAGAGGGTGCCTCTTGAAGAACTATGACTCCCAGGAAGTAGTGTGACAGGTGTAAGAAACAAGGCTGAGGAAGGCCATACATCTTCAGAGGTAGGCCCTGCGCCAGGTGACTGAAATATCGGTGTCTGTAGATGTGCGTTTGTGAGATAAAATGCTCAGAATTCTTGGGGGATTCTGGGAGTTGGAGTCCAAGAAAAATGAAAGAGCGCATCCTTACATAGAATTGTGTCCTGATCAAGCCCAGCTCATGTTGCTTGAAGCTTTCCCCCAAGAAACCCATTCCTCAGTCAAACGTGTTCTGCCAAAAGCTAGCCCTATCCAGTGGAGGTGTTATAAAACCACAGTGTCCATTCCATAGTGACAATTGTCCGTTGTCCATTCGGGCAAAAGACACGAACAGCAAACCTCACACAGAGCAAATCTTTTCTCTTCCTAGAGCACAGAGCCTTGATGGAGACGGCTTTTGTTTATGGCGCCTTCAAGTTTGCCTTAACCACTGAAGTGACGCTTCTGAGGAGCATTAGGTAAGTATTGGAGAATCATGAGCCTTTTAAGAGTTCAGGGGCTTGGCATGGGGAGAATCTCTTGGGAGTACAGATTTTGGGTGTGTGTGTAACCCTTTACCCCCATCTCTCAATGGAGTCTAACTTCGCCATCTGCCTGGTTACCTAGGATGAGCAAAAATGGTCTCTAGGAGACTAGATGATTCTGTGTGGTTTCCTTCAAATCTTAAAGATTTTCTGTGGATCGTTGGCAGAGAAGCTTGGAAATCTCCTCCAGGAGTCATCAACCACCATGACCATAAACACCCAGAAGAGGAACAGCAAATGTTGGAGTTGGGTGTTTTCATAGGCAAGCTGTGTCCCCCTTTTGATTTTCTGCCAAGCTTAAGGAAGCTTGTCTTCCATAGCCTGAGCAGCTTGTCCGCTGACCAAGTTCCCACCAGATGTGCTGGACTGCCATGGCCATCTTCCCCAGCTAGAATAGAGATGAAGATTCAATCCACTTGAGGAAGGCTAGCTTGTTAAGGTATCTGAATTAGCAAACCGTGGCTTGAGAATGGCCCACAAACCACGATTGGAAGCTACCGTTTGAAATCCATTGGCAAACCGTAGTTTGTGCTGCTTCTCTGGTGTGATGCCCAAATCGGGAAGAAAGAAAGCATAATCAGGAGGGTTGCTCTACCTCTGGAGGACCAAGCCAGATAAAATAAATATCCAAATATCCAGGTAAAAATAATATTAAAAAACAAAACTGTGGTGATGCCTTCAAGGCTAACTGTTAAACTGGAGTGTGAGCTTCTTCGTTCTCGGTCCCGCCACCTTCATAGGTCCATTTGGTGGGGACATGGGAGAGAACCTTCCCTGTTGCTACACTCAAGACTCTGGAACTCCCTTCCACTGGAGGCCAGGCTGGCCCCATCTTTACCATCTTCTACAAGCGGGTGAAAACCTTCGTCTTCAAGCAAGCTTTCCTTAATAGCTGCCTAGTTGGGTTTTTAAAATGTACCTTACTGCTTTGGTTGTGTTTTTTTTGGTATTGATTATGTTTTTTTTGGTATGGTATTTATTGATCCTTTAAGAGATGGGCAGAAACCTCTGGTTTGACCGTTCAGCTCAGGTCCTTTCCTGGCCAAACAGCTGATCAGTGCCCTTTCCCCTCCAGGTGGCACCCATTAGGCAGCAGCACCCCCACCTCTTCCGGGCACTGCCTTGGAGCGGGCATCCCTGCCGGGACGGGTCAGGGCGCCCAAATGCAGATCAGCTGTTCAGTCTGGAAGTGAATGACACCGAACCATCAAATCAGGCCCATCTCTAATTGTATACTCATTGTTACTAATCTTAAATACTGTCTTTTCATTGTTATTAGCCACCTGGGGGGTTCCTTTATAAGGAGAAAGGCGGGTTAGAATGAGTTTAAACCAGGAGGGAGGGCTAATAGGAAGCATCCTTTTTGGCCTGATTTTTGAAAGCTGAGCTGGGTTTGGGACAGGGCGATCCTCGGATGGGACCCTGTTGAGAAATCCCAGGGATCTCCTTGTAGGGTTTTCCCAGAGATCAAGGCACTAGGCTAGAGGAGACCCTGTCTGACTCTTTTGAAAAGCAGCTTCCTACGGTCCTGAACCGTTACAAAGCATGAACGATCCTTCGCTAGCATGAATCGGAAGAGGTGAGGATTTGACCGAAGGAGTTGTCTTTGATGCATAGGGTTGCCTAGAGAGGTCTGAGCCAAACATGATGTATACGGCAGAAAACCTATAGATGTTTGCTCTTCTGCATCCAGAAATTGTCCACCTATAGGAACAAAAAGACAAGTCAAGGGCCTGGCCAGCCTGGCCCAGATCCTTCACCTGCCTCCTTTTCTCTTCCTCTTACAGTCCTGGAGAACCAGACGTTCCCTCCTCTAGACTCTTCTTCTGCCACTGCAAGGTGGACCCGGATCCAGGCCAGCCGTGCCGAAGGACTCCGATGGAGCCGATGATGACCACGCTGAACATCTACAAGTTCCTGAAGCTGATGGGGCAACCCCTGGTGGTACGGTTGATGGTGGCCGTGATCTCCCCTCCCCGTTCCCCAATTCTCCTCGTCCAGGTTTTGTTTCCAGACATCCGAGTCTTAGACAAACCTTTGGGGAGGCTGATGTTTTGGGCGACACCTCCTGGAATTCTGTGCCATGGAGGATTTTTGGATGGTGACTTCTAGAATCTTGTGGACCCTTCTGGGATGGGCTTTTAGAAGATGTCCTCCAGAAAGGTCACGGTGCCTCACTCTGCCGGAGGTCTGGTGGGCCTGCGGGGAATAGAACAGTAATAAATCTGTGCAGTCCCCTTTCTGTAATCCATGAATGCATGCCATCCCCTTTCAATCATCATCATGTTGTGACTTATGTCAACCCTCTCACCAAACCCTATTTCCTGACACTATCCCAGACTTGAATGGGTAAAATATTCCCATTTACTTTGTGATTTTTGTAAGAAAAATAAAAGATTTATGTGTTTTGGGAGCTTAAGCATGTCCAGAAAACAACATCACAATTGTGGCTGTTCTCCCAATGAATCTCGGCCCGCCCGTGGTTTTCTGAAAGCTTTTTCTGCTGTTCTTGCTCACAAGGGTCCCCAACTTAAAAGGAACGCAGTCCCCACAGAAGCGATGGAGGGGATACACCTTGGGCTCTTGACTGAATCTCTTTCTTTCCTTCAGATGGAGGTAGCCGAAGACCCAGAGAAGTTTTCTCCCCTCCACCTCCAGCTTGGCCTGCCGCTGATCTTCGTTCTGAGCCGGGAAGAGACGCTGGAAGCTGACAAGAGGACCGCGGAATCCGTGGCCTGGAGGCTTTTGGGGAAGGCAGGCGTCTTCCTCTTGTCCAGGTATCGCCCTGGGGTTTTGGGGGGGGGGGGGGGGGAGGAAGGGGAAGACACCGGCAGGATCCTGGTGCGTCCTCTCACCTCCATTCTGAGAGATGAAAGAATCCTCAGAGAAGGAGCCATCTTGGTTTAAGCATGTTGGCAGAAGAAAAGCAGGGCATGGGAGACAAAATCTTGGAGCATGTTGTTGTTGAAGAGTCACAGAGACAAAATCTTGGAGCATGTTGTTGTTGTTGAAGAGTCACATACTCCTCTTTGTGACCCCACAGACCAGAGCACACCAGGCCCTCCTGTCTTCCACTGCCTCCCAGAGTTGGGTCAAATTCATGTTGGTCGCTTTGGTGACCCTGTCTGTCCATCTCGTCCTCTGTCATCCCCTTCTCACCTTCACACTTTCCCAACATCAGGGTCTTTTCCAGGGAGTCTTCTCTTCTCATGAGATGGCCAAAGAGCGTGGAGCATGTTACAGACTGACAATCTGAGTTCTGTGTTAGCTTTTGTGGGTCAAAGTCCACTTTGTTGGGGCCCTATTTCATTCGTGGGTCAGACCAGGAGCTTGCCTGGACCTGCGTTCAGTGCCCATGGTAGCAAGACAGATGCTTGGGTTTTGGGAGACAAATTGCCTCGGCAGCTCGAGGTTGTTAGATGGCCCTCATACCTGGGAGCTACATCCCCTCTGTGAATGTGTGTGTTCCCCTTTCAATGCCCACCATCCTGGGCCATTCTGGCTTATGGTGACCCTTTTCTGGGTCAAGAACACTCAGATGTGGTTCTCCGTTCCCTTCTTCTGGAGGCAGCTCTAGGACCACCGTGCAGCTGGCCCAAGGCCACCCGGGCTGGCTCTTCTCCTGGGGGGGGGCGGAATTGAACACTCGGCCTCTGGCTCTGCAGCCAGATATCTGAACCACCGAGCTATCCGGCCATAATAAAGGTGTGCCGACAAGTCAGTTCTGACTTAGGATGACACTTTTTCTAGGTTTTCCAGGTCAAGAATACTCAGATGTGGTTTACCGTTCCCTTCTTCCAGGGTTGCCTTGAGTCTGTGCAGCTGGCCCAAGGCTACACGGGCTGGCTCTTCTCCCTGGAGACAAAGTGGGGGGGGGGAATCGAACTCCCCACCTATGGATCTGCAGCCAGACACCTAAACCACTGAGCTTTCCCCTTTCAAAGCCATCTAAAATTGTTGGCCTGATTGCATCTTCTAGCCGTGGAATCCCGCCGTTTCGCCCCGTCTCGATTTCCAAATCCTTTCCTTTATTTCAATGTCTTTTGCACCCAAGCTGGGGTGTGAATGGATCTCAGGGTTTTTTTTAACAGAAAACAGAGCAGAACCGTAGGAGCTGCAAGCCTTCCTTTGAGGCCGCCCGAAGGGTGGCGGTGGCAGGTCCGCGGCCACCAGGTGGCGCTCCGATACCGTCTTTGAGAAGTTTGCTGGAATCGGTTAAGAAAAAGACGGGATCCAGTGGAACAGAAGAGGAGGGCAGGGGAAGGTGGGGCTTTGAACCCATAGCCTCATCAGACTGAGCACAGAGGCACCTCCTTCTCAGCTCTAGAGAAGAATAGGTGGCTTTCTTGTCAAGTAACTTAGAAAAGATACTTTTTGAAAAAAACTGCATCTCCAAGAATCCCTCAACTAGTCATTTCAGAGCCTCAGGGTCACATGTGACGTATTTATTTATTTATTTATTTATTTGTTTGTTTGTTTAATTTTATCCTGCATTTCTTCTTAAAACAGACTCTAAATAGATAGATAGATAGATAGATAGATAGATAGATAGATAGATAGATAGATAGATAGAGAGAGAGAGAGAGAGAGAGAGAGAGAGAGAGAGAGAGATATGGAGGGATAGTTCGATGGAAAGATGGAGAGATAGAGGAAGAAAGGGATAGATAGACAGACAGAATAGATAGATAGATAGATAGATAGATAGATAGATAGATAGACAGAGAGAGAGAGAGAGAGAGAGAGAGAGAGAGAGAGAGAAATGGAGAGATAGATGGAGAGATAGAGGAAGGAAGGGATAGATAGACAGGCAGGCAGGCAGGCAGATAGATAGGTAGGTAGGTATTTTTAAAACCTAAAACTAGCAAGACTTGGCAAAAGCCCCCCCTCCCTGTCGCCTGGAGAGCACAAGGAGACTGTTCTTTTCTTAACTTGTTTTTAATTGAGAGGGTGGGTCAAGGGTTTTCCCGAGTGGAAGCGTTGCATCGAGATCTCAAAGGACCGGTAACGAAGACCGAAGCAAGGAGGCGGCAGGCACCAAGCGTGACACACGGATCTCAACAGGCTGGTCTGGAGTGAGCGAGAGGATCTTGCTTTGAGGGCAAGTTCGGACCGAAAGAGCCAGGAGGCCGGTCTGTTCACAAAAAGATAACGAGCGTCTCTGGATAAAGGGGGTTCTAGGTTAGCCTTTTAGCCTTTCTGTTTCTGTCCGTGGAGTGTCTCCGGGAGGCAGTGGAAGACAGGAGGGCCTGGGCGTGCTCTTCTGGTCCATGGGGGTCACGAAGAGTCGGACACGACTTAAACGACTAAACCACAACAAGGTTAGCCTTTCCCCTGGCCTGCTATATTTCTACATGCAAGGAATGTTTTCTGTGCAGGGGAGCACGCCGTTCTGCAGTTGCCCACCTGCCCTCTGACACAGTACAGCCACCATGCCCATCCACCCCAGGCTGAACCCCTCTGCGAGAACTAGGTCCTAGCAATGACATTTCATATATCCTGTGTTTCGGAGTTTAACTTTCAGTTCATGTCTTGAAAGGACTTCTCTCGGTGGGGATGTTCCTCCCCAGAATAACGTGGCCATCAAGACCCCGGAAGAGGTGAGTCTGTTGTCACTGATGTTTTAAGACCAGATTCTTTCCTTGCAGTGTTGTCCTCAATGTGTCTACTCAAAAGTAAGCCTGCCTGTATCAAAAGAGGCCTGTTGCCAGGCAAGTGCCTCTAGAAAGAGTAGGCAACCTGTAGCCCTTGGCAATGCTGCCTGACTACAACTCCCATCATCCCCTGGGATGTTTCCATCCACAGCTGTTGACAAGGTTGGGTGATTGATGGGGCAGCAAAATGGTCCAAGACTGCCCCCTCTTGGTTGACCATGGTATATAGACTTAACGACACTGAGGGCTGGAAACTTGATCTTTTAGAAAAAAATCACAGGATTCTAAAACTTCAGACCCACATTTTCAGGCTGTGCAGAAAAGAAAAGAAAGGAAAGAGGCTTTGGGGGAGAGGTTTCACCTTTTTGCTCTTCAACTGGGTTACAAGTATATGCCTCTTTTGAGTTAATAGGAGAGAGTGGCTGAAATCCTGTTGCTTCGTGTGGCAAGGCCACAACAAAAGCAGGACACATTTGAATCAATGGATTTTACAGAGGAGCTGACTCGGCAAATTCCCACCCTGTAGCGCAACATGCTACGCTAAGCCATAGGATTAGGAAGACCTGTGAGCGAACCGGTACATATCCTTGCTCACCGTTGTAACTGTGTGGCTGTGCCGATCTACTGGCCTACTCAAGGAAAATCTTGGGCTTCCCCTTGAATTCAGCTTTGGGGCTCAGCTTGGTTCCTTCTCCTGGGGTCTCTACAGGGGGTGTCTGTGAAATACCTGGTTTTGAAAGACATGGATGAAATCGTAGCCTTGGTTGAAATGCGTAAGGAAAGCGAACTGATCCAAGAGGAAGAGGAGGAAGACTATGAAGAGCAGGAGGAAGAAGAGGAAGACAACGAACAGGGTAATTTTGTACCCCGTTTCTTCTTAGATTGTCATAAACCCTTGAAATCCTAGGGTAGTTTTTACCCTTCTGTTTTCAGATTTTAAGAAACCTGGGTTCTGATGCAGCTAGAAAGGGTCCCGATCCCTCTTCCCATGGTGTAGGCCTGTCTTACTGAACCCTTGGGATGTCCCTGGTGCGCTGGTCCTGATCCTTCCATCTTGGGAAGGGGCTGTCATTTGGAGGTAGATTATTCGCTGTCTGGGGGTTGATTCCTGGACTGAACAGAGGTTCCTGAGTGGGGTGTTCCATAAACCAGCAAGTAGGCTGAAGCGTCTCTCTGAACAAGGCTAAAAAAAGTTTATATAGACAGTAGTAAACGAAAGCAAAAAAGAGCCAAGTGTGCTGCTTATAGAAGCGTCTCTCTGAACAAGGCTAAAAAAAGAGAAAGTTTATATAGACAGTAGTAAAAAAAAAAGCAAAAAAAGACCCAAACCTGCTGCTTAATATAGACCACCCCATAGCACTTCAAGCACTCTCTGGGCGGTTTACAAGCTAATGATGCAGGCTAAACATTGCTCGTTAGTGATGCAGGCTACACATTGCTCCCCCCTTCCTCCAGCTGAGGACTCATATGACCGACCTCGGGAGGATGGAAGGCTGAGTGAACCTTGAGCCAGCTACCTGGGATTGAACCCCAGCTCGTGAGCACAGTTTTGGCTGCAGTCCTGCCACTTAGCCACTGTGCCAGGAGGCTCCTTATTTTACAAGTAGCCATTTCCAAAATATTCCTTATGTAAGCTTACAATACAGACATTAACCCATTAATTAATATGCTTCATCAGCGTACATTAGCTTAAATATCGTGTGTGTGTCTCGAAGATTAACGCTTCACCTGATTAAATATGTGATCAGAGTTTTCAACTTGCCGTTACCAAATCTTTTCCTTGGTTTGCTTGCCCTCTTCAAACCAAAGAAATTCCAAATGCTGCTGGTGTTTTTTTTTTAAAGGGGGGTCCTTCTCTCACTCCATTGTACCCTTCTTTGCCCTGTAGAGATCCAGGATGACCAGGTGGTGGAATCTGTCATTCGAGACCAGAAACGAGAACTCTTCCTGGGACGCATCCAGACCCTGACGGGGGAGTCCTTTGGCCTCACACTAGCAGACGCCAGCTACACCCTCGTGCTGTTCTACGCCAGCTGTAAGTCAATCATTGCGAACAGCCGGGTCACGTTTCCTGGGGCGGCACCCGTATCTCTCGCTGCTGTTGAGGACTCGCCGTGCGTTTAGGTACAAGCCTCTTGGGGCTGAGCCCCTGGCACAGAATCCAGGAGACTTTCAGGAGAATGTCAGAGGCTTAGGACACTTGAGTAAGAGAGCATCTGTTTCATGATGAGGATGGAAAACCCATGGAACACGGTAGAGGAGCAGGAAATATGAAGATAAATGGAAGGAAAGGAGGGGAATATGTGACATATGCTTGGCTATTTAGCTGGGTTGTGGAGCCTCCACAAACAGAGGCAGTCTGTCCCATAGTACAATTGCAGAGGGATGCTGTCGTCTCCCAAGAAGCTCATGGCGGACCCGGACACCCGACGTGGTCTGATCCAGCTGCAGTGGCCTGGTTTTGATCCACGGCTTTGGATTCTGCTGTTCGGTCCAGATCCCCAAAGGGTCTTATCACAAAATTAAAGTGTAGCTCTTGTCTACAGTACACGCCCCACACGCCTCCGTAGATCAGTTCACAGCTGGCTGTTTTCTCTCTTCCTGTTGTAATTCTTTGGAATGCTCACAGTTGGGTGACCCATTATATCTTGATCCTTCCAGGTATAATAAGCCACCCTGGATGTTTTGGTCTGCAAGCCCCATGCAGGGTATGGTAAGGATTGTGAGTGTTGTAATCCAAAACATTCATCATCCTCTTAGAACTGCAGAGCCGGAAGGGACCCTCTGGACCATCCAGACCAGCCCTATCAAGGAGGCCCCACGGGGGGAATCGAACTCCCAACCTTTGGCTCTGCACAGGGAGACCCCCTGAGCTATCCACCCTCTGGACCATCCAGTCCAGCCCTATCAAGGAGGCCCCACGGGGGGAATCGAACCCCCATCCTTTGGCTCTGGAGCCGGAGACCCCCTGAGCTATCCAGCAGTTCTTGTTCAGAAGGCTTCAGACTCAGAGTCCCTCTTGCTGCCCAAGGCTGCAGGCTTGTTTATTCTCTAAGGGCAGAGAAAGAGGCACCCAATGGAAGGCCAGCTTTTGTGCACTGCCTGCAAAATGTAGCATTACTATGGTGCAGTCACACTTGTGGCGCACTCCAATACGAGCTGTTTCCTGCTGATCACATGTCGTGAGAATGGCTGATGGTCGGATTCCAAAAGATCTCCTGTATGGAGAATGAGTGGAGGAAAATCACCCCAGAGGGAGACCACAGCTGCGATACAAGGACATCTGCAAGCGGGATCTGAAGGCCTTAGGAATGGACCTCAACAGATGGGAAACCTTGACCTCTGAGCGTTCAGCCTGGAGGCAGGCAGCACATCATGTCCTCTCCCAATTTGAAGAGATCCTTGTCCAGCAGGCCGAGGCGGAGAGGCAGTCCTGTGACCAAGGTGCACCTTTTTGGTCCGGCAGTTGTTGTGGATTTTCCCGGCTGTTTGACCGTGTTCTGAAGGTTTTTCTTCCTAACGTTCTGACTCCTGTCCTCTGAAGATGCCGGCCACAGAGACTGGTGAAACGTTAGGAAGCACAACCTTAAGAACACAGCCAAACAGCCCGGAAGACCCACAACGATCATTGAATCCCGGCCGTGAAAGCCTTTGAGAATAAATAGGGTTATTCCTTTTTGTGAGCCAGGCTGGAGTGATTCCTGAGCAGACGGAAAGTTTACTTTAAGAGAGATCGCTACCAGCAAAGCGACACTTTCTGGTGCGATCAGACACTTGCCTCTGCCACCATCTAGCTGCACCCTTTAATTTAACTCCTATATCTTCCCTGGCCTGTTGAATTCAGCTTTTGGGGGCAAAGAATTTCTCCTCTCTTTCTCCAGCATTTTTTTTTAAAATTTAAAATTTATACCTTTATTGAACGGAAGAGAAAGACCTATACAAAAACTACAGGATTTTGGTCGTCTGTTGATCAGCCAAGATTCAGGGAAGTTTTTTTTGGTCTCTGGAATAATGGGTGGTTGTCTGTTTGCATTTCCACTTTAGGGGAAGCGGTGTCCTTGGTCGTGATGCAGACATACGCCGAGGTGGCTGCTTCTCTGAAAGGTATGTGTAGGAATCATTTCACTGGCCCATGGACCAGCCTGCTCTTCCTCCTCTTCCTCCTCAATATTAACACTACTATTACGAGGAAGATGTGCATTTCTTATGATCGGTACCCAAAGACGCACTAGTGGACGAAGGCTGGCCCAATGGATAATATCCCCTCCGCGTGCCATCTGGAGCGTCCGCCTCTCTCCTTCCCTGACATTTGTGCCCATGGGAGGTGATGCTTATCTGCCCTTTTACTGTGCCAACTGGACACTGGATAACCAACTTCTGGGCTGTGGGTACCCCTTGGGTGGGCTCTGGAGTGTAAACTACGTAGTTTCTGACCCAATATAGCCTTTATGGAGAGAGCCCGTCAAGAGGTCAGCACTAGGGACGTCTTCGCTTGCAGCCAAGGAAGGAAGAAACACAGGAGGGAAGAAAGCAGTCCTAGAAATGAGCTAGGGGCCTGCTTGATGCCAGAAGTCTCTAGGTTCAATCCCCAGCCTCTCCAACTTAGGAGAGGCCAGGAACTGAACCCAGAGACTTTTGGTACCCAGTGGCCTCAGTCGGTGTGGCAGTAGCTTTTTGCTCTTTTCTGCAGAGTTGCAGTTAATCAAAGGGAATCCCACAGGGCAGGATAGACAAGCAACCCAACTTGGCTGACCCTCTCTAGTGCCGCTTTCTGCCCTCCTGTGCACCACGCTAGCAAGTCCCTGATGCTGATTTTTCTTTTAAGATGTCCCTGACGATCGTCCTTTGAAACCTTACCTGTTTGGTCTGCCCTTCCCAGAAACGGGATTCTGGGAGAGGCAGTCCAGAAGAAATGTCCAAGCTTTCTTAACTCCGCACCCCATCCTCAGCATGGCTTCTAAGACTGCATCCAACACCTCTTGTATAGGTTGCATATAAGCCACCGTATTAAAAACACGGCAATAAATAAGCTAGGAACGGTTGTCTAAAATCTCACACATGTTTGCCTAAGGCCACAAATCACTGAGAGAGAGAGAGCAAGATTTGGGAGCTGAAGGGCTTTCTGGTTTGCAGCTAGCTCCTTGGGCCAGCTTTTGAGTGCCTCTAATCCAGATGCCTTTTAAAAATGGCCTTGAATTGGGTTACGCTTTTGCCATATGGAACCACGACCACAAAAAACCCCTTGAACCAAGCAAAGTAAAAACACTCCAAAGATAGATTTATGGATATAATTGGAAGCCTTCTTCAATTAGGTTTGGCCCTTATTTGAGTAATCCAAAGGACATCTTCCAAGTAATATCCATAAATCCATCTCTGGACGGCTTTTTTAAAAAAACATAGGGCTTGCATATGGAAAACGTTTAACACCATTCAAAACCACGTACTTGTTTGTTCTAGTAGTTTCCAGGAACTCCATCATGTTGTGTTTCTTTCCTGGCGTGCTCTGACATCGCTCGATGAATTCAGAGTATCCGGCTCAGGACAGCTTCTGCAGACGTCCTGTTGGCTTGACACAAGACAGGAGAGGGGCAAAAAAGCAGGCCATCAGATGAGCAGCTGATGGCTGTTTACACCCCGTTAAAAAAAAAAGTGCAGTGAATGGTGAACAGTTACGTGATCTTCCAGGTCTGAGAGCTCCTCAGCGAATCATTGCTTACGCACACAGTGAGAGCAAGGCAGGAGCCCTGGGCGGGGACCGGCCGTGATTTGGCTCCTTCCACCCTAATCAGGAATTTTCAGTTTCTTTTTTTAAAAAATACAGAAAAGAACAACCCAAAGGTCAAAAGGTGGGACCAACGGTGAGCCGTGTTTACCACATCTGGCATCCAGTGTAGCAAAACTATTTGTTGTCGTTTAGTCGATGTTTAGTCCTGTCCGACTCTTCGTGACCCCATGAACCAGAGCACGCCAGGCCCTCCTGTCTTCCACTGCCTTCCGGAGTTTGGTCAAAGTCATGTTGGTAGCTTCGATGACACTATCCAGCCATCTCGTCCTCTGTCGTCCCCTTCTCCTCTTGCCTTCACACTTTTCCAACATCAGGGTCTTTTCCAGGGAGTCTTCTCTTCTCATGAGAAGACCAAAGTACTGGAGCCTCAGCTTCAGGATCTGTCCTTCCAACTCAGGGTTGATTTCCTTCAGAATGGATAGGTTTGTTCTCCTTGCAGTCCAGGGGACTCTCAAGAGTCTCCTCCAGCACCACAATAGCAAAATTATCCTGTATGTAAAACTACAGGCCCTTATGTGTCTAAAACTATACGTGAAGTGGAGAGGGTCAATAGGCAGATTTTTCTTCCCTCTTCTATTAGAATCTGGGGTCCTTTGCCAGAATTGAAGGTCAGGAGATCTGGGGCAGAAAAAAAAATAAAATAAAAAAGCTGCTTTCTTGCAGTCCGTTATGGAACTGTGGAACTCACCGAAACCTCTTGGGAAACATGACTGCAGACAGGAATGGCTTTAAAAGAGGGATTGGTCAAAAGTATGGATGGCAGGACAGTCGAAAGCAGCCATTCTCCACCTTGATTTGACCTTTTAGGTGCTCATCCCAGGTTTTGGGGGGCCCCCATCAGAGAAGGACACAAAACAAACAGATCTCTCTCGGAAATGTCCAGGGTTGGGAGTTTAAGTTGCAGGACTCATCAGGTGGGACTCGGATCACACCAGTGACGAGGTTTTTTTGGGGTGGTGGTGGTGATCAGTGACTTGAACTCGACTCACGACTGGGAACCCACCCTGTCTCTTTTTTCTGGAGGGAAAAAAATAGGTTGCTTTTATTAGGGGCTTGGTCTCGGAAGTCAAGACTTTGGACCAAAAGCTCTGGTTCGGATTCAAACTTGGTCCCAAAGGCTAAGATTCAAACTCAAGACTTGATACCAAAGATTTGCCAACATCCCTGAAAACTTCTCACACTTTTGTAGTTTGTGCCCCCTTTTCAAATGGGCCAGAGGCCCCTCCCCAGGGAGCCATGGACCTCCGTCGGAGTTGCCTTTAGCAACCCCTGTTGTGTTGTAGCTGCTGCCTGTTCGCCACGGGAACTATCCCTTCTCTTCTGCCGATGCAGCTGTTGCTCCTGACACAGGTGGCTGCATCTTAGTCTGGTGTCCCAGATGTGACCATTCCACTTTGGTTGGGCCTGCTACCGTGTTTCCTCGAAAACAAGACAGGGTCTTCTATTCATTTTTCCTCCAAATAATGCATTACGGCTTATTTTATTTTTTTTCAAGTACAACCATCTGCATTTGTTCAAAGGCAGTCCTGTCATCTTCTTCTGGTTGCTGCACAAAGGTGGAGGGCGAGGTTTCACTTAACTGGGACTTATTTTTGGGGTAGGGCTTCTATGACGAGCATCCGGAAAAATCCTACTAGGGCTTATTTTCAAGTTAGGTCTTATTTTCGAGGAAACAGGGGTAGGAGTCATGATGGAGTCTCAGCATCACGGACCCACTCAAACCCCTTTCACCAGGTTCAGGTGTGCATCTTATTTACCTGTCAAGTTACCTGTCCAGATGCCAAAGAATTCAGAGGCTGCAAGGGGGGGGGGCACCGTTGGGTTCCATCAGCTATAAAGGTTTGCTGCCCTATCAAAATATAATTTATTCCACACATTTAATGCCTTCAATTGTGTGACGTTAAACATTAGGTGGTGTTGAATATAAGATTTCGCTCTGCTTTGCGTTAATTCACAGTAACTTCGGCTCTTCCTGGCAATGCCACGCATTCTCAATGGAAGCCAGGCGGTTCTTTCCTGGAATTATAGTCTGGCCAGGGCTGAGCGACCAATAGCTGAGCCAAGTCAGCATCTTGCTTTAAGATGAGTCCACGGCTCAGGACTCGGAGGCAGAATCTATTCTTAGTTCCAGGACAAACCAGGAATAGGGGAACTAAATAGGAAAAGATAAGGGGGTGTGGAAGGGGCTTGTAAGGCCATTCAGTCCAACCCTTTGCTCAGTGAAGGGGCCCAAATCAAAGCAGACCTGACAGAGCGTTGTTCAGTTTTTTTTCTTTATATGCCTCCAGCGTTGGAGCACTCATTGCCTCTCAAGATCATTGGTCCCATTGTCGTACTGCTCTAACAGTTAAGAAGTTTTTCCTAATATTCAGCCTAAATCTGGCTCCCTAGAACTTGAGTTAATAGTGTCCTTTCAGTGGGTCAACACA